CACACACATTGGCAAGCCTCCAGTCGGGACCTCCCCCATTAACCAGGACTGCTGATAAATGATGGAGAGCGGCTTTTTGAGATCCTCTCCCTCTCCTCTTGGAATCATCCTCTTCTTCCTCAATGTAGCAGGTCGTTCACTGCTTCCTCTTGGAATCATCCTCTTGGAATCTTCCTCAATGAATCATCAAAGACTTTTGTTTTGAAATATCTCTGACCCCTAAACATACATAGAGACTCCAGAGTAGCTATCAGTGACAGTTAATTCCTGGCAAAGGGAAGTGTTTTTAAAATGACAGACATGAAACAGAATTGTTGTTAGTAACATCTTAGATCATTAAATTCAAGGTTTGTAAAAATCAAATTGATTTCTTATGGGCTGTGTCATTTATTTTATAAATATAATTGTATTCAGATTATACAGTGAAGATAGGTGTGTCATTTTCTTTCCACTCAGCTTCCTTTTAAGGCATTTGTCCTCCAGCTCAGATGTGCAATGTAGAAGTTTTTAAGTCCAAACATGAAATTCATGATGTTTTGTTTGCAGCTCCATATGTCAAAGTGTATTTATTGGAAAATGGAGCATGTATAGCTAAGAAGAAGACAAGAATTGCACGGAAGACCCTTGATCCTTTGTACCAACAGACACTGGTTTTTGATGAAAGTCCACAGGGTAAAGTCCTTCAGGTCAGTTGCTTCTTAAATCCCATTTTAGGCTATCATTTGGAGAAGCACTCGCATGTTTACTTATGTTTAAGGAATATGCGTAAATCCATTCCAACTCACAAAGCATTTAATTTTATAAATACCAGCAAACATGTCCTTGTGGCTTGTGGTTTCAGACCTGCGAAATGTCTGGCTGTATTAAACATTTCCCTTTTGTTGACTCTTGCTCCTGTCCTGCCATTAGGTTTTCCCACAAGAGGGAGCAATCATTCACCCTTAAGAATAACATTTTCCTTACACTACACATAACGAAATACAGCAGGACTGAACATATAAGCATGGGTTTGGGAACAATACTGAACCTGTATTTTATGTTCTTCCAGGTAATAGTTTGGGGAGACTACGGCCGAATGGACCACAAATGCTTCATGGGAGTTGCCCAGATCCTTCTGGAGGAATTGGATCTGTCCAGTGTGGTAATAGGCTGGTATAAATTATTTCCACCTTCATCACTAGTGGATCCAACCTTGACTCCCCTGACACGCAGGGCTTCCCAGTCATCTCTGGAAAGTTCAACTGGGCCTCCCTGCGTTAGATCATAGTAGCAGGTGCTGCCTAGTAAAAACATCACCCAGGATAACAATTGGAATCAGATATTCACATGATCAAAAAACACTGTTGGAGAGAGACAATCACTTCTGTTTTTGCTTGTAGTAGTTATTCAAAAATATGTCTGTTTGTCGAGAGATGGCTTAAATTGACAGAACAAAGGTATATCACATATGGCCAATCTATTAGCGGCTATCACTGATGCTTATAATGATCCAAAAAAAAAAAGAGAGAGAAAGAGGGACCTTTAGATTTGAACTAAGTCAAAGATGAGCCAAACTGGAAGCTCTCACTCTGTTAACAATGTTGTATTTTTCACATTTTGACAGAGCCCTCAAGCAGTGTTACCTTCCTGGTGTTTCAGCAGTTTTTCTGTACTTGTCACTTCCACTAGTTTTTTGCCAAGTGATTCTGCTAGTTTTGTAGAAGTCCTCACAACGCTGACAGAGACCCTTCCTTTCTTTTTCTAAACCAAACAAAAAAGGGCTGAAGCATATCTCTGTAAGCATCATTAAAGTGTTCAACAGCCACAGTTACGATTCCAGCGAGTTCAAACCGTTTCTCAGTTCTGGTACTTCCAAGTCTCTCACATGGGAACCCAGAACAAATGACCAATCTAAGTTATATTCTTAAAAATAAATAATCATCATGGTGCCACTTTTCCTTTGTAAAAAGCAGATATGTTTGCATTATATATAATAACTTTTATGTTTATGATGTTTTGCATGGAAGAGTTTTGAAGAATTCTGCAACTACTGCTGGGGACTGGTATGAAGCAGCTTTAGTCTTAATTTTGACATTGAATATGTTACTGGTAATGCAGTTTTCCTCCTAGAAATGGAGAGGAAATATTTACGTTTCTGTGTATAAATGTATATTTGACTTCCCAAAATGTTGACCAGGAATGGATTGAGCATATGACACTTTCAGCTGTACCCAGGCTTCTCTGATGTGTGTCGCTTCAGACGCACCTGTCTGCCCTGGATAGAGCATGGTATGAGTTGTTCAGTGTTTCACTGGAAATTCCAGTTGAAATATTCTGCACTTACTAATGTTTTTATCAAATTTTAGTTTACATTTCTTTGAGATTGATGCAAGCACAAGGCTTGATTTTTTAACGCAAGATATCTTACTTTTTGGAGAAAAAAAAGAGTCAAATTTCAATTTGCTTTTTATTCATCTGAGTTCTTCTTGGCCTTGAAATCCCTTGTGATATTCTGTAAATGTGCGAACAACTGCAGATTCTTGCAGGTGCATTGATATGTTTCCCCTCCTTTTACAGGCCATTCGATTTTGTGATCACACAAATAGAGCAGCATGACTTGGAACTGTTCAAAGCTGCATGCACGTTTTGTAAAAAGAGATGAAAAAGGTTATTTAATAATGTATGTTAGTTCCACATAGGCCAGCTTGTATGTTGCATGTACTTGTACAGTTTGCTCGTAATTACTATACTGAAGTAACCAAGAAATCTAAGCCATCCATTTTTCTTATAGACATTTTGCAGGTTTTAGCCAGGCTAGGTCTGTGAGTCTGGTGCTAAATGTCTATAGATGGACTTTATTTTTTACCCTATGGAAAACGTGATGTAGTACGGACCAAATTCCTTCTAATAACTATTTTGGTGTAGATTCCTACTGTGGGGCTGTAACACATGTAGAAACTGTGTACACACTAGGTTTTAATTCATAGACATACTGCCTGCACCAAGTGAACTATTTATTATTACTCAACACGTGGGAATTACTCTGCCCATCTTTCCGTAGGGCGCAGATTGGTTACTGCTCGACCTGCTGAGCAGGAAGAACTCAAGCATTGGTGCACTACTACTAGATCCTGTTCTGTCTTAGTGGCCAAAAACCAACTAGTTATAATTCGATAGTACCTTTCTATTTTGACCACTTGTCTTAACACTCCCCTGTGCTTTTAAATGAACTTCCAACTCATGTTATGTAAACATGTTTAATAAAATTTCCTTTTCATGTCCAGTGTAGTAGTTGTGCTCTCTGTATGTTCTGAGGTTCATCTGTGATTCTGCTCGCTGCAGGACTGTGTGAAATGTGTTAAGGAACAGTAAAATGATAAGTAATTTCTATGGTTCTTTTGATCGCTGTAATAGTGTATGTTGAAATCTGGGGCCAAAAGCTGAGGCCTGGTGAAAGTCGTGTTTGGTTGGCTTCCTTTTCACTGAGAAAGGAGCCAAATTGTGCTCTCATTTGTTGAAGCAGGCAAATTGAAGTCAAAAAAACAAATTACAAATTGCAATCTGGTGAAATCAAATCGGCTTATTGGAGTTGAGTGATGCTGCATCTGCTTGCACCAGGTCAGCGGGGTGGCATGTGTTAGAGCCAGACACCAGCTCGCCATGTGGTGTGTGCTAAGCCTTTAAGATGTGAGAACAACTCTGATCTTTTGCACTTTTCAAACGCAGAAATATGCCCTTGTATTGTAATGCCCTTATGGACGTAAGAAATTTATAGAAATTTACCTGAGAGCAGAATTTGGCGCTAAATTTTATTAGAGAAGCAAAGATTATGTACTTTGTTTGATTTTTGGTTTTCCATGTCCCACAGATACCTGATCACAATTTAAAAATAACATAAAGACAATATTGCCTCACTTTGAACACTTTTGTTTATTACTTTATTTATCTGAATACATGGTTAAGCTACTGAAAAAATGAATAATTAAACATGGTAAATCTCTGAACAAAAAGCATGTTATATTTCTGCTTCTGTGTGGTGGGAGTGATCTGTTTAAATATAGAATTTGTCATACTGTTGCAAAAAGCCCTCAATTTCATCAATCTCATGGCTTTGAATATTGTGTCCAATACTAGGATTTCTTTTCCTTTCTGATCCTGAGCAATAAATAAAGTTTAGCATTTCTGATCCCCCCCTAGAGCACAAAAAATATGGCAGCAAAAGAACACACTGAACTATTTCATTTATGGTGTTTCTGATGAATGGGGATCACGTATGCAAAGACTTCAGGAATGAAGTAGTAGACTGTGCTAGGACAGATAAGTTGTGTGCTGGTCTCATTTCCCAGGGACTGTTGCCTTTTAAAAACTCATTGCTGAGTGTTGGGATTATAATACACAGATAAATCAGCTTTAGTTCCTTCCTGGTTTTCCCTTGAGAATGCAGTACCGCCTTATGTGTCATACACAGGGGAAAAGCAGAGATACTAGACGCGTAATCCCTGTCATATAATCAGACAGTTATTTTCCTTGTGATGAGTAAATGTTCTAAATTTTGTATTGAAATGCAAATTTAGTGTCCCTCTTTGTAGGTGGAGAAAAAGCTTTCGGCCTTGACCTTTGTGTTAGAGAGACATCAGACCTGCTGTGAGCGGCAGGACAAACCAGATCTTCCATGATCTCCTTCCTTCGTAATTCCCAGAGAAATGATAAGTGCACTTTCGTTGCCTGTTTTCACTAACAAATGACAGTCCCAAAAGTCGAGTTCAGCCCAGATATGATATGCTATACATAGAAGAAAAGTTCAGAGTGGATCTTCAGTGGCTGGTCAGCGTACTTCAAGATTTTACTTATAGCCTGTGACTTGTCCTCTATGAAGTCGTCTGTTTGCTGCTCCCATGTAGTCACTACTTTACTGTCCACAGCCCATTAACTATAGGAAAAAGGACTATGGGACTCATACGCTTCTTTTGCCTTAATTGAAGAAAGCCATGGCAGACAGCTATGTGGCTCTTTCTTTCAAGCCCCAAATGCTCACCCCATGTTACCCTACTATAATTCTGCAAACACAGAAGCAAGCAATCTGCAAGAAAGCAGATTGTTGTTGAAGGATGTGGTTTCTCAACTCAGGTAATGAGTATTCTGGCCATCTTGAGTGATTAAGAACTCTGCTAACATCTATCAAGAGTAAGGAGTCTCAATTAATACCTCATTCCCAGCCCGTCCACTTCTCTCCAGGAGAAAAAGAAAATGCATGGGTCATATATGTGTTTTCTCAGTGTCTGCATGGATGACCATGTATGCTGGTAGTTAAATACCATCATTATGAAAGAGGTTGTGTGTGGCAGGCATGTCACACAGATCAAATGTTCTTCCAAGGTTTGTGGTCCAAATTCATCCTACCTGAGGTGCCAGAGATAGGAGGGGAAGCTGCCTTCACTCCTTCTAGAGTCCAGCTGATGATGATGCTGGATCATCACCAGCTGATGATCCAGCTCCTGAATGCACAGCCTGGTGTCTAACGAGATGCCCCTTGGTTAGGTACTTTCCAGTCATTGGTATGATTTGAAGTCACAGTTGTGCTGTGACTAATAAAACGTTAGATGTTCTGCCTTGTTGAGTCAAAGTGTCTAACGCTCAACACTAGTAGTAACTGAGGGAAAGGGTAAAAAGTTGTCAGAATCTGTAGACTACAGTGTATCAATGCAGCAGTTCAGGAAAGGCAAATATTATACAGCTGTATTTATGTCTCAGCTAGTACAAGAAAGGCATCCTCAAGAGCTGAGTCTTTTGGAGGTTTCAGCTGCTGGCTGCTAGAAGCGAGCCACCTAAGGGTTTCACAGAATCCCATGGGTGGCCCCTGAAAAGATTACCTTCAAAAAGTGATGAGCAGCAGTTCGTTATTATAATGCTTCTTGGACAACTCAGAATTACTCATTCTGATCGCCTTTAACACGTCTACAATTTCAGAGCCCTGCTAAAATGCAGTTACAAATCAGTAGTGGCCCACTTGGTAAAGCACTGGGTCCGTAGTGAAAGGCTGTGTGATATCACCATCTGCATGGATTTTCACTATGTCTACAACAATTCATTAAGGTGAAGATTTAGAGGTTTTTTTCACATTTCCTTCTCATTTATATCAGTGGGATGTATGCTTCTGGGTGACTTTGAGAACCTAGGTATCAGTCTCTGCACGTGGGTTTTGTGATGACTAAAATGGGTGTGATTCCCCACTTCAGAGACATTGCATAGATATGGAAAGAGCAGACCATAGATGTGGAAAAAGCACTT